CATTACCTACGGCAACTTCTTCAATTCTTAATTCTACTTCAAATTGATCAATTCAAAGTAAATTTTACACCACAAAATAAAATGTCCAAGAGCCATAACCTTTTTAATCGTTCGTTACGCAACAAATGTATACTACAATCCATTTTATTTTTACGAGCAATCATCTCTATGTTCAGTCATCCCCGGTACATCTCAAGGACGGCTAAACCAGACCTCTACCAACGCCACACGTACACCGCACCCACTCTTTGAGCTACGGCTACGATATGGCTGTTGACATAGTCATAACACAAAATAAAATAAAGTAAGCAACTCTACAATTTAACAGGGTTATTAAACACCCAAATAGACTCAGGTTAGTCAACTGAAATAAGCTTGGCTTTCAGGCATATCTCTCAATCAATTAAAAAGTTAACAGATTTTTACGACAACATATTTTTAAAGCAATATTTAAGACAAATTTACTTCCCTCACGCACCTAATATCAGCCGGCAGCAGTGTTTAATAATCCGCCCGCGGCGTCCCACACTAACAGCATACTTCCATTCAAAAGCGATCCGCATGGCACCACGCCTTCATCACATTATTTGAAGATTATATTATGTGGACGATAACTTTATCCCACTTGTCTATATCCACTTGATGTAGGCGATAGAGGTAGAGGATTATCCCAGATGCACTCATGATAGATGGCGCAAATATACGTGCATTACAACATAAAGTACAAGAAAATATAATGAACAGAACGTTATCAATTCGTCACAAATATATAGTAGGTACGCTTTCCCGAGATAATTATTAATTTCAAAAATCCTATATAACAACCACGGTTTCCACGTTACCACCGATACGACGCTTCGCTGGATTAAAACCTTATTACCGTTCACTCTCGATCTTGCCAGTATTTTAAAGTATATATATATATATTCGATTTTTTCTTATTTCTCATACATGCAGGTTTCCTGACGATGTTTCCCTGCACCGCCAAGCATGTGGTAAATCAGCACTTAAAATTGCACTTACAATTTCATTGGTGCCGGCGGGGATCGAACCTGGGTTGCTCACGTACTGTTAAATTTACAGCGGAAGTTTAACCCCTGAGCCACCACGGCTTCGTTGATAAATTATAAAGATATTATTGCTGAACGGTCATTTCAAGAGGTTAGTTTACCATTTCTTTGTATCGGGATTTTTCTTTAAAAACGTGCTTTAGAAAGAACAGTTTTTGAGATGTATGTTCAAGAGTAACATACTTATTTTATCCGCTGCCATAAACTTGTCCAAAAGATTGTCCGAAAAAACCTATTTGGGTCTTTCATCACCTCGCATATTTCATAAACATAAAATAATACAGACGTCAGACTGGTTTCATATAATGTAGTTATGTAATGAAAATCTGGTAAATTTTATATCAAAAGAACCAGTAGATTTTTTTAACGATGTAACAATTAACGAAAGAAATTGTAAACCATTAAAATTTTACAATTAATTATTAAAAATATTTACTCATGATACACTTATTTAATAACAGGTTTTTGAAGTTCAGAAATAGAAACGTTTATCCAATTTGTTAGTATGTCGGTAAATTTCCAAACTTGTACGTAGGCGTGGTCCGGCAATTTAGCTAGGAAGCCAGTTCCATTTCTGTTTCCGCAAAACACCGGACACTTTAATCGCGAACATCGATTTTGGTTTGCCGATAAACATTCATAAAATAATATAATATACTTTTTTAGACTAATCAAAGTTGAAACGAAATCAAAATAAACAGTTCTATGTCCTGCAATTTTATTCTCGATTAAAAATAAATATTCATATGAAAATGTATAAATATCTATCTGTAAATTTGCAGACAATAAGCAAGAACCAAATACTAGACTAGACTAAGTTATAATATTTTATGTGTAATAGAGTACTAGTTTGATCTCAATAAAAGGCTATATTATTATTATTTTGGGTATTTAAATAGGTTTTTCATCAGGTTGTGCTGTATAAATATATCAATGGAAATGATAAATATACATATAATAATAACGTCCTCCAGACCGAACTTCGGGCGCGGAATTTCTTGATGGAAAAGCTCAATAACAAATTTTTGTCCCGACCCGGAATTCGAACCTGGGACGTCGTGATCAGCAGTCGCACTACTACAACCACTAGACCAACAAAGCAGTCACAAATATACGTATATTAATGTAGTCAAATAAATACATAAACAATACGTCAATAAATAAGAAGCCAACCAGATGGTAGCCCTCGGCAGGGGAGACCAAACGGCCGATGGTTAGGGGCAAATAGAAAGAAACCGGCGGACGATGTGGGCGGTATCGAGGAGCACCGCCGTCTGCATTTGAGTTTGAAGCGGTCCGTCATGGAGTCCCAGTCGCCTCAGATGAACCAAGAGGCTGGCTGGGATTAGCCCTTTCGCAGAAACGACCATAGGTTTAATTTTAGTTGGCAGGCCACCACACATCATGTAGGTCACCTTGTGAACCAGTTCCAGATATTTTGTTCGCTTATATGTTTCCACTTTTTTTGTTATACGGAATGGAAATGTTAACCAAAAATATGCTTAACTGTGTCCATCAGCACAATATCAGACTTATTCGCAAGAATAGTCCTGTCTGTAATTATGACCCGGTCTCAGTAGTATCTGGGTGGTTTATTTTCGAACACGGCTTACGGCAAGTACTTGTAATTAGGCAATTTTCGGTCCATGAGACCATACTTCAAAGCGAGCTCCTGGTGTAAAATTCTGGCTACTAGGTTGTGCCTGTGCAAGTACTCAGAGTTAGAAAGTGTTGAAAAACCAGAGATGACACGCCTCAGTGACTCACCGGGATGGCGACAAACTCGACAGATGTCGTCGGTGCCATCCCTTAGGATGTATCTCCGATAGTTGTTGGTCTTACTTACCTCATCCTGTATCGCACAGCTAAAACTCTCGGTTTCCCCAAAGAGGTCACCAAAAAGTAGCCAGTGGAGGGAGGCAACTGTGTCTACGAAGGCTCATGTAGAGCTTTGTAGAACCTCCCGTGGAGCTCCTTCTCCATACATAGGTCTTCCGATCGGAAATACTCTGTACTGCCGGGTCTTTCCGTTGCTCGATGGCTGAGGATAGAGGGGTAAGCACTTTATTACAAGAAATGACATAGAATGATATATAATGGATCACCCGATCTCGTCAGAAAGTAATTACGGAGGCTGCACACTTCATGATTATGCGTGGTAAGGGCACTTAAAAAGCCCCGCCCACCATGTTTCCGTGGCAAGTACAGTCTTATAATTGAATATCTCGAGTGATGCATTCTATGGGACTTTTCTATTTAAGGCTTTAAGTTCAGTTTGAGTCCACCTAAGTATGACAAAGTTATACACGAGAATAGGCATAACCCGACCGTTATATGCGTGTGTTATATTCACACCGGACAAAAGGTTGTTAAGTACTTTGGTCAAGCGTCAATAAAACACATCGCAAACTAACTGTTTCATACCCACCTCATCGATACCGATGTTCTGTGAGATACCCAGGTATCAGTATGTTTCAGCCTCGGAAAGGGTATTGAAGTTGATAGGCATAGATAAGTGTATGCCCTCAGAGTTAGCAAACCTTCCCCTTTCAACATGAAGGACCGCATACTTATCCGTCCTCAGCTCCATTCTAATAGAATTACTAAAATCACAAATGATGTTTAGCAATTTCATAAGATGGGGGCGACTGGAGGCGAATAATTTGAGATCATCCATATAGAAAAGGTGGGTCACATTTGTACCTCCTTTCCGAAAATAAAATCCGCTCCCGGAGCCATCTAGTAAGATACTAAGAGGGTTTAGAGAGAGGCAGAACCAAATTGGACTCAAATAGTCGCCCAGGAAGATGCCCCTTCTTATCCTTATGTAGTTTTCCGCAGCTATCATTCGCTCGCCTAGATGACAAAGGATTGTATTCCAGTGCCCCATAAATTGCCCAAGAAATCTCTAACTGTACAGTCAACCTTGTACAACTCGAGGACTCTCTTCAGCCATGTATGAGACAACGAGTCAAACGACTTTTTGTAGTCTATCCAGGCGGCGAAGGAGATATTATTATTATTATTATTATACGTATGTACATAAAAATGCTGCATGTCTAGTAACATGTAAAACGGGACTCGATTCTCACTATTAGAATTATTGAATTGACCATGACGTGATTGAAATCGTGTAGTGGCGGTGTAAGAATATCCACTACCCTATATCGTCCCGTTGGTGACATAAGAGGTAATAGAAGGAAACTAAAATAGAACATGGGCAGCAGCATCATCCTTCCTAAAGAAGCGTGGCAACTATGTCAAATGCCCTATGAGACAATCTGTGGGAAAGGCCTATGTTCAGCAGTTGACTTTAAGGGCTGACATGTATGGACGTGAAACTGTTAATAAAGTCTGTAAACTGACTACGTATATTTTTATAGATTTGCATATTCTATATTTGATATAGAAAAGTAAAAGTAAAGCAACCCTAGCAATTATATACCTTTCCCCGGTTGCTGATTCGTGCTACAGCATATTGTTGAGAACCCTTTTCTTTTTTCAAGAACGTTAAAAATATAATCTTAAAAACTATTTTATTGTCTATTGTATTTTTACTGATTTGATCAATAAGAGCTTAAATGTACAGTATTGTATATATACTCAGGCATATTAAAAGCAGGGCAAATAACCAAGCAGTTTTGTTACACTAATTTTGCATTTGACTGTTCGTAAAATTATGTATAAACGGACATGGCCACTAAGTTCCAGCCAAATTCACGCCTGCTTTGAAATTGGTCGTTCTATGAACAAATTGTAATTTTATGTGGTCATTATAGTTAGATGCCAACATAGTTAACTATCACCAAATTTATCACACTATCGTTATAAGCTTAACAACGTTTACAAATTTTTGGCAAACTATATTTCATCCGCTATTTCTTTTTTTTTACTTATTCTAATCTAATTCTACATTAGATACATTAATAACTACACTAAATACATCAACTTTTTTATCTTTATTAAAGCTTCAGATTGTTGTACAATCAAATTAATTATATGACGGGTCGGTGGCGCAGTGGCTTTGCATTGAGTTGTTGAGCGTGCGTGCGTGCGGGATTCGAACTGTATTTCATCGTGGAATCTTTCTTCATCTATTTTGCATTCAATTTTCTGCTTGGCATTCTTGAAATTTGTGTAGATTTTCGATAAGTGATTCTATGCTCAAAGTTGCCACTTCTTCGGAAATATCGGTTAATTCACTTACTGTTTGCTGTAGTTTCTTCAGAGCACCATGTGATGATGCTCGGGTTCGTTTTGGTTTTGTAATGTTTGCCATCGTTGCCAATTATTAAATACAAACACAATATTACAAGGTGCTCATACTTTATTATATTTATAATGACCACAGAACACAATTACTCCCTATGCAAAGAGATTTAAGTACTATTTAAAGAGAGTAATTGTGTTCTGTGTACTTAAATGTCTTTATCTCTGTGACAGATAATTATTGCATGGAAGATTCCATTACTAAAGTAACGCTATCAACTACTTAAAAGCTTAGGCTTCGAATACATCACTCGAAACTAGGCTTAGAACATGCCAGTCTATGGCTCCCCGCCTAACAAATTTCGGCTGCAGAGGATAGAGAAAGTATCTTTCTATCGGATCCTGGCATAACAATAAACCTTCGTATCGGCTTAACAAATTAATATATTACAAAATATAATATATCATAATATATTACCCCATTATAAGACAGTCTTTGGGAAGGCCCGTGTTCAGTAGTCAACTTTGATAGGCTGTAATTGGGGAAATGCCTACGCATACCCACCTCGGGGGGTCAAGAACGGATTATTTCAGGCTCACGCCGACTAAAATCTTATGATGTACCACATTCACTTCATATTGGTAGAGCTACGGGAACTTTTTTACACAAGACCGCCGCCATGTATAAAAATATAATTGTGTTGCCACACCTGAGGGCTAAGATAAAATGCCCCATTACTGGTAAAAAGGGTCTTCCGTTCTCCACATCCAGCTATTTTATGTTGGTATACTGTGAGAGCTTGGCCCTTCTCCGGTCAAGCCGACCCATTCGTGCTGCAACCATATTATAGCTGCAGTGTGGTTGTTCCACATCAATCTCTCCGGCATTTTATATTTAATCACCTCGTGTGATACCGACGGGAAATGAATGAAGTTGACCTCAGTCGGCCAGATCGTATAAAAGATACACGATCACTAACAGATGCACAACGAGAGGGATATGAGTAAAGATTAAATAAAATGATTTAATAAATTAAAATATAAGTTACAATTATTACTTAAGCAAGAGTAAGGATTAAATAATATGATTCAACAAATTTAAATGTATAATAATATATTTAGAAAAAAATATTTCGAAGTCATGTGAAGTTCGCCAACACGCATTGGGGGTTGGGGCAGCGTGGCGAACATTACCTTGCCCTAAACCCTCTCAGAAGTGAGACTGTGCCCAGCAGTGGAACAAGTTTCAACTTTAAATATAAAATAGTGTTTCACTGTAAAGTCCGAGAGATATATTTTTACCTTTTAAGTCTATTGGTGATCTGACTCGTGAATAAAGACTCGTGCAGCCAACCTCAAACTAAGAAAGCTAAAAATGCGTTATCATCTCTGAGGACAAGATGAAATGTCTCACAGTTTATAATTATACTAGCTTTCTATGGGACATACAAACGCTGCTATTTGGCGGCAGAAATAAAAGGGGGTGCCTACCAAGGCCGTATTCTAAGCAGAAAAGAAATGCTATCACCAGTAAACAAGGTCTTTTACCAAAGTCCAATAAATTTAGTTTTAAAGATGATTAAATTAGGTTCAAAAAATTTTTACTTACTTAGCTCTTTACACATCTATTCCATTAAATAACAGAAACTTTAAAACTTCTTAAAAGTTTGCAGACAGATGAATGATTTATTGTATGAAAGTAATGTAATGAATCTTAATATTACGATTATAATAAATAGTTTCGCAATAATAGTGACCTGACTTGTGGATCTTTATATTTAGATTCTACTCTTAATATTAGAAATTAGATCTTAATATTAGTTTATAATCAATAGTTTGACAGCTATTTATTGAATACAGTACGTATTATAAAATACATTGTACAAGTTGAAATTTTAGCCGTGTAATGGCGGCATAAGAGAATACACTAACTCATAATCATCCCGTAGGTGTAGTAAAAGTCGTCAGAAGGAATGAAACAGAATGTGAGCAGCAGTAATATTAACAAAAACTCATCATCATCGTCATCATTATGGCCCTTAACATGTCCACTGTTGAATATAGGCCTCCTCCAAGGAATACCATAAAGTACTGTCCTGAGCCACCTGCATCCATCGACTTCCTGTATATCATACCAGATCTATACTCAATCTAGTGGGGTCGCCTTATACTTCGCTTACCGGAGTTTGCCACTCGAGACCTTTAACTTTCCTTTATCTAATCTTTTGATAATCATAAACCTTTTTTTGAAAACATCTCAAAATAATAAATAACTGCGGTTGCCAACTCGCCTACCAAACGGCAATTATTATCTCTATGAAACAATCTTTGGGGGAGGGCTATGTTAAATTGTAGACTTTTAACAGACCATATTAAACAGATTAATAAAGCGAAATTTGCTCGAAAACTCTCGGCATTTATTTTGGAGAAAACAAAATTAAATAATGCCTTTAATACTTTACCTAATTCAAAATCTCACAAAATCATTTTTATTTTAATCTTCTACGTAGTGCCCCACCTCAATACGCGCCAACCTGTCTAATATTATCATGATATTGTATTAATTTAAATTCTTGGAGTTCTTTAATAAATTACGTACAAAAACGTTCCAGAAAATCCAGCCTCTACCGAAATCTAAAAAATCAGACAGACAGTTAATAATAAAAATGTTTCTGGTGTCTGTTTCATTTGTTTACTTGCCCTAAATATAAATATATTTTAAAGTTGTAATTTATTTACGGATACCGCCTCTTTACGTTATTATATTCTTAGATCATTTTTATGAATCTGAGATTATATTTTCGGACTAAACATTTTGCATTGGTATTTTAAATTAAATTAAAATTAAATGCGATGAAATCATAAAATGAGTTTAATTCAATATGTAGTATTCGTGTAAATACAAGTAATCATTTTGATATGGTTCATTATAGGGCACAATATCGTGCTTTTCTGTTGACCTATTAAAATCCATTGATTAACATGGACTTTAGACTTTGACTTCATGGTTGTAGGGAGGTTGCTCGGGAGGGTAGGTGATCATATTGCCTTTTGACGTTACTGCCCGTCTCCGATGTGAAATAAGATGGTTATACTGTCATCTTACGTAAGCTATAAGATTTTTATGGCATTTTCCATAATCACCTCAGCGCCTCTCACAGTACCTATGACACGAAATAGGGCATCCCTCAGTTTGTGTATGTCTTACTCCGCCAGCACACGGAAACTCATACACAGAGGAAAGTAGTTGCTATATGCGCCATACTTGACTGGCGAATTTGCAATCCCAGTAAAACCGTGTATCATTTTTTATTTAAATTAAAATTTATTTATTAAGAAAGAATGTTACAATGCATATTATTATCCGGTTGCTCCAATCTAGGTTAGCCTGTCTTTTAAAGCCCAGTCCCAACGATTAAACTGTTTACTCGATAGTTATTATTCATGTTTTCCTATTTTTTTAATTTCTGTAACGAATTGTTTATCATGATTTATAAGCCAGTGCTCGTCTACAATTTCAATGGGTTGTAAGTGGTAATGAAGCCAAAGATGTTAAATCGCACAGCCTTAGCATAATAAAAGCCTATTCAATTTTTCCTTAAAGACATCCACATTGTAATTAGACGGAAAGGCAGACGCGGGCAAATGATTGCTCTCCTTTGCTTCACACATTACGAAAGACTAAACAAACCATTTAGTTCGAATGCGTGAAATGTCGATAATAAAGGAGTTAACTCGGCGAATGTCTGGTTGTCCGATAGCGAAAAGGGGATGAAGGATTTTCTACTCACATTGTCCCCATAAAACGGCACAAGTGCGAATAAAACCCTTAGTGCAATAATTTCTCACTGACAAGTGAATTGAATGTAGTTGTAACTTGTGTAAGTTTTGAAAAGTATAAGCGTCTATATCGCGTATCAGTCTCCTGTCAGCGTGTGGGACTTGACCTGAGGAAATGTGCCGAGGAGCGTCGCAATACTGACGTTAAATTATTGCACAAGTTGAACGGCATTTACAACTAAGAATTAAGTTCTAACACTTATTTCAAGAAACACTTCAGGGACTACTCGCCGTAAATTTTATAGCACTTGAGTAACTCGGGGTTTGATTAATTACAATTTTAAATGAGTGAAGTGAAACATCATAAGAATCCCTGCATGTTTATCCCTGCGTATAGGAGTATATGATCCTGTGAGGATGAGGAGGCCTGTTCCCAGCAGTGGGATATATGGACTATAGCTTTAACACTTTGAATTTCTTTGTAGTTTTCTTACGTGCTATTATAATTTGTATTTACACGGTAGTGTCATATTGCAGCTATATTAGCTCCAGCATCGATGGGCGCAGTGAGTTCCGGTAGACTACGTTGCAGTGTCAGAAACGCGTCGCAAAACCAGACTATACCACTCAAAATCCAATCCAACATGGTCAAATGTTGACGTCAAATGGTATTCGGAATATAACTTTTATATTCTCCGTTCTAGTGAATTGAATTGCAAAATTCTAAATGTTAAAACACATTTGTACATTGTATGTAATAATGGAATATAATGGTTATTTTTTTACATTTGCAATATATAAATGTAAATTATTTTTGACAGCGAATAATGGCTGCAGCACGAATATGTTGGCACTATCGAAAGAGGACCACGCTCACACACAAAATCAGCATAAAATAATAAGCAAAATGCTGACCTCGTATGGTTAATAATAAGAACCGAGATTTTTTTTCTAATAACTTACGTGGCATTCTATCTTAGTGCATATTTAAAATTAAGTGCAATATTTTAGTATCAACTAAACTATATCCATATTATATCTGTTGAGTAGTCTGCTTAGAATATCTTATTACCGTTATCTTTACAGCCTATCAACAGTCCAACGC